TCGCGTTCCCTGAAATGGGAAAAGAAAGCAGAGGGTCTTCTTGTTCAGGCTCTGCAAAACTTCGGTGTATTTACTACAAGCTTCTTGCATTTGTAAATGCCTTAACAGCATATGCATTTCATGTTTCTGCATTTGACCTTTTCATCACAAAATTAAGGCAGAACTACTAACGATTTTCAGATTGACCCGGCTGTATGGTAAGCAGAACAATGACAGCATGTATTAGTATGGTTGTATCTCGATATAGCAAGACTCACCTATCTGGGATTTTCCAGGATCCATGAGAAACTGTTCCGCACAGTCTCTGCCAGAACAAAAAGTTTGAAATTTTCTTAAGGCGTGCCTTCAAAGTCAGAATAGATGAAAGTGCTAAAGGGCACTGTACCCAAACAGTGGTACCTGACAGGCTTAGGTCATAGCAAAAGTCACACAGTCCCTTTCCCCACCCCCACAGGTTATAAATCTGCGCACCATTCGACCAATGGATATTGAAGCAGTGGAAGCCAGCGTTATAAAGACAAACCATCTTGTAACTGTAGAAGGAGGTTGGCCGCAATTTGGAGTAGGAGCTGAAATCTGTGCCAGGATCATGGAAGGTACCAAGTTTTCCAATATACATGTTGATCTCATTCCCTAGTCTAAATCCTGACGACTTCTTGATAAAGCCAGATGAAGGCAAAGTTAGGGTTTTGTATCTGAGGAGCTTGAGCCTAGCTGTCTTGCTCTAGAGATTTTCACAGGGTGGATCTAGCTCGTCTTCTGTTGCGAGTAATTCTTATCCCAGGAGCTTGACTGTGTGAGCAGCAGGATGGAAACTTTTTGTCTAAACTATAGTGCATGAAAATAAAAGAGGAACAGCTCTCTGGAATATTAGAGCTACAGGAACAAAATTGTTTAAATAGACTAAGAATCAGAAATTGAATTAAGAGAAAACCATAGTGCATGGCAACCTGACAACTGTCTTCTATTTCAGGACCTGCCTTTAACTACTTGGATGCTCCAGCTGTACGTGTTACTGGTGCAGATGTTCCTATGCCTTATGCAAAAATTTTAGAAGATAACTGCATACCTCAAGTGAAGGATATAATATTTGCAGTGAAGAAAACTTTGAATATCTAAGTTGTAAATACATGTTTTAAAGTCTTGCTTTACAAAGTATTAATGGTGTAGGGCAAATTGTATGCATAACTTTTGTTGTATAGCTACACGAACTTTTGTACAGTGGGTAAAGTATCGTGACCTCCCAGAATATTTATATGGGGTTACCCTCTAAGCCACGCTTCATATAAGCAACAATGTGGTAATGCTTGTTTGTTCAACAGTACAGGTGGGTTAGTGCTACTGTATGTGGAGAAATCCTATTCTAAATTCAGAGTGTGGAAAAAATCCTCTATTTCTGCTTGGCTTGTAATTACCAGACCAGCTGTGTTAAACCACCTGTAGTGGTGGTTGGGTGAAGAACTGCAGTGAGCAAGCAGAGGCCCTGAGCCTAGCCCTGGAATGCTGTACAGCTCTCTAGGAGCCCACGGTCGCAAGGCTTATTAAAGGTGAATGATCAAACTGGAGTGAGTGATGCCTTGCTTTTCAGTTCAACAGTTAAGTGCAATTGTGTGCACAAAGTGGCTTTGCAAGCCTGCGGTGTGGGCTGAGAGATTGCTAATGTGTTTAGTTTGAAGACCACTCCACTTGTGCAGAAATCTTCTGCACAAGAGCTTAAATACTGAAGAGAATCAGGATCTTTATGTGATTGGGAAACACTACCTAATATTTCTTTACTAGCTGCTACATAGTGCGATAAAAGTATACTTTTCCAGATGCTTTGCTTTTATGTTTTTGGTTTGGGGTTTTGTTTGTTGGGTTTTTTTTAAACTCATCACATGGGCTAACAACAGCAGGCTCAAACTACAGTTCTTACTGTAGCCAAATCAGGACAAGTGCAAAAGAAGTTATTTTATTCGGACACACTGAGCCTGGGTCTGAAGCAGCAGTTGTGTAGATTGTGTGTGGAGAGCTGGAAAGCAGTCACAGCAGCCCTTCAGCAGATCGCCACACACCAGGGTAAGTCCTGACAGGCAGGGACAGCTCCGCCAGGCTTTGTACAGCAGCTTCTGGTACAGTGAAAGCTGCCTACAGGAGTCTGTGCGGTGTGGCTTGCTCTAGACCCTGGGTAGGCAGCCCTTCCACTGAACTGTTGGGGAGGAGAGACTTACCTCTGTAAGTAGACAGAAGAGCTCAGGTCCTATTTCAGTCAAGGGCCAGGAATACATTTCAGGGTACTTCTTTTAGCAGAAGTGCTATTAGGTTCTTAGGAAGGCTGGCTTGCAGGTGCAATCCTAGCTGAACATACCCACCACCACACTGCTGAAGGAATTCCATTAACATTTTAATAAAAATGACTGAATATCACAGGTTACATGAAACTTTGTACAGACATTCTCTGCATAGTAACAAACACTGATGTACTTGAATTTAAAAAAATGGATTATCTGCAATCCTATAAAGTGCAATTTATTTAAGGTTTTAAATCAAAAACAATCTTTCAATAAAGTTTAAGCTGGAGAATTAACTTGAAGTAACTTTGCATTTAACTAAATCGAGAATAATATCCCAGTGCCCTGTTAACTCCCATTTCAACTGTTTCCTCATTTAAAAAACACTTTCCCTTAGAGTTACAGGTAGGATGTCCATTTAAACACGAGACAGCATTTTTATTCCACCAGCAAATATGGTGGGAAAAAGATTTAATTCTCCAGTTCCCTCACCTGTGCAGTATGCTTTAAGGGGTGGGGGGGGTGGATTATCTAAAACGAAACTTGCTGATTCAATGCAGCAAGAATTAAGATGAGTTACAAGTGCATGAAAAGAGTTGGAAAAACTGGGCAGACTAAAACTACATTCCTGTAATTTGAAAAAAGGCGTGGAATAGAGCTAGAAAAAAATGCATTAATTCACCATGATCATGGTCATTCCTGTTTTCAGATTTTTATTCAGGTATACAGAAGTTGCTGTACCCCTGAAACTGTAGCTAGAGAACAAAGTTCTTGAAATCAAGTAAAGAATGGACTACTTATCACAGTATGGCAACGCAATTCAAACATGGCAGTGCTGCTACTCAAGGGAAGCTGAAAGAGGGGTAAACAGAGCTACAGCGTGATGAGCTGCTATATGCTGGTGGATCAGGTGCTGGTCAGGAGGGTCTTGTTCCTAGACAGCACAGGAGGGGGAGAGGGAATTCAATCCTGGTGTGACCAGCAGCCTCAGCTGATCCTGGGAGCACTGTAGTCACACGTCTGTGTTTTCTTCAGAGTTCCTTTCTGAAAATTTTGGATGGAGCTGAGTAAGGCTCCTCGGCTTGCACTGACATCGGGCTGCGGGCTTGGCTGCGTTGGCACCTCTGTACTCGGAGGAGGAGCTGCTGGTGGCAGGGGTGGCGGTGGCGGTGCTGGGGGTATTGACGATGCTCCTGTTGAGTTGAGGAGAGAAGATGTAGTTCGATTATGTCAAGAAGGTCCTGCCACAGAGGACTGCAGCTGCTTAGCTGGACTTGGTCAGTCCTGCGCTAGTCACGTCATTCCTTGAATGGCAGTGGAGTGTGAAGAACAGAACAGATGAAAAAATGCCAAAGTGATCAAATCCCTCTATCTGCGGGTGAGTTGTGTCACCTGAGACACAGCCTAAAGTGCCTCAGTACTCAAGGATGCAAAACCCGACTCAAATGTGATCTGGCACCGAGGGAAATGGAGATCACTTAATGGGACTTCCCAGCTTCAGTTTCTCTTTGTCCCCAGTGAAGCAGTTTGCTCTTTGGGTCATGAACAGTGAAAAAGACTGGAAGCAAATCTTGCTACCTGTTCTTATTTACATGACTACATTCTTACAAAGGACCACATCGCTGTAGTATATGTGATGACTGCTTGGTCATATTATTTTTAAAAGTACTAACTGCAGATAGAGTTCTCTGGAAGTGTTTTTACACTTCCACAGTACTGTCAGACTCTCCGAACATGTAACAAATGTTTGTTTCACAGGGTGAATGAATCACAACCATCTGCCACTCACACCACTTGCCTGCGTCTCCTGCTCCCACCAGTCACCTTTGCATTGTGACCCTTGCTTTCTACGCCAGTCACATCCATCTCCTACTTCTCCTCATGCCTCAGCCTCTGCTGAGTCCTGACTCCCTGGGAAGCCCGAGCCCACAGCGGTGCATGCAGGCAGTAGCCCAGCAGTGAGGTGCTTCCTGGCAGCTCAGACCCAGGCAGGTGGCCTTACTTCCCCCAAGCAGCTCTCCCAAACACCCTGATCTTGTGCAACTCTGCTGCTGCACATTGCACCATCATTTCTACACAACTATAATCAAAGATCCAGGTAGGAGTAAGAGCAAAGACCTTCAGAGGTGACCGCTTGCCGTTCCACAAGACACCCACATGAAGGTGGGATTTGCAGCCCATCACCAGCTATATAGGGAATTATGGGCCTGTCTTGTCTCATATATTCTGGAATTAGTAGGGGCATAATGATTAATATCTTAGAACTAGTCAACAGTGAATTTTGAATCCATCATCTAGATCATGAGTTACTCCACAGTAAGACTAGAGAGACAAATGACACCTATAATCTTAACACTTGCTTCCAGTAGCTCTAACCTATATAAAAAAGAGGAATATACTAAAGAGGAATATACTGGTATGTGGCAGGAACTATGATACTAAAGGACAACAAAGCACAACAACATGAGGCCAACCAAAAGACTATGGTTACTGAAGTAGAACTGCTTGCTATGAAGTAAGCAAATACCAAGCAGTTAAAGGACATTATGCCACATGGACTCAAGAGGTATTTCGATCTAGGAGAAAGCTCAGCTACAGAAAACAAAAAGCAAGCAAAGTTCTCTGTGCTCCACTTCTCTCTCAATTCTTCACTAACACTTGCTGTCAGACTAACAAGTAATAGTAAAAAAGTAACTGCTGTAATTAAAAAAAGCAGTTATACTAGATTAAAGTCGTAACTCAAAGCTGCCTCATTTTCTATCTGTACCAGTCTGAAGGGAGACTTTTCCCATATGGGAGCAAGCTCAAAATGCACAATATTCGCACAAAGCATCCAATTTTGCCAGAGTACATTAATACATGCTGTGATTGTACCACTTCCAACTCCAGGAGAAATTCTCACTAGCATGTGACAACAAAACATGGAAGTACATATTGGGCTCATCTTCACCCTCCTCCCTTCCAGAGGAAATACTCAAGTCCTAGTAGAAATATCAGAGATCAATTGAAACAATTTAATGTGCCTGTTGCATGTGGATTAACTGCTCCCTTAAGTAATCGAAACATTACACAATGTTAGCACAAACAAATAAATTGCATATTGATGCCTTGGAGCCATCTAACTTATCCAATTCTACTTTTTACACTAGCCAAAGATGTAAGTCAATTTATTATTAAAAATATTGGAAAACCATCCCCTAGGTTAGAGTCATTCTGTTTCTCATGTGTGTACCAACTGCCAGCAGAGCACAGCAAAGCAAAACTTGACACTTTGCCAAAGAAAGAACAAGACCAAGAACAGATTGAGTAACCACTTTTGTGGTTGAAGTGGTCAGAGCAGAACACTATAGGACTGGCGTACCAACGCTATCAGCAAACTGATCCAATGAACAGCTGTAAAAAAGCCAAGACCAGCTAATCATAAATGAAATGGTTTGAAAGAGATGCAAGAACTGCAGAGAACAAAGACAAGATTTTTGGCTGGAATTGCAAGGTGAGGTTCAAGAGGCTATGCAAGTAGTTTTATAAGACACAATAGGGAATGACCATGAAATCAGCAGCCAGGACTCTGTATGGAATACAAATACAATGGTAACATATGCAGTGAAAGAAGGTACACATTTGACAGACAGGGGTGCAAAAATCCACAAAGTGCTTGGATCACTAAGTATTATTAGGCCAAGATTCCATGTGTTGTCTTCAAATTTTGGTCTGGTTATTTTACAATGGGGGTAGAAAAGACAGGGAAGTAGGGGGAGAAGCCACCGTCCTTCCTGGAAAATTGTTAAATTCCTCAGGACTCACTATTATTGAAATTGAGCTGCCAACAACATCATAGATTTAAACTCTTGTGAGACTGATTACAAACAATGATACTCTTACACCTGAACTCTGCCTTAAAACATAAATATACACAGGTTTTAGAATGGTATCTGACTAACTACAAGCATTACATATTGAACCTGTTAATTAAGACCACGATTTTGAAAATCTTCAGATCCATTCATTTCAGTCAGTCAATCAAAACAAAGCTGTCCTTCCCTTTTTGACACAAGAGATGCAAAGGAAATCTCAGTTCACACTTGTGTACTCACATGCAGT